CACAACATACTTGGACGTCTGAGGGAACGAGCTGGCGAGCGCTGGTCGGGTGTCGGGAGGAGCCGGTTGTGGTTGCGTATTTATTTTCTTGTCTTTTATAGGGTTGCTATATATTTCATTATTTATGTGTGTATATATTTATCTTTATTCGGTTTATCGTAATATCATATTATGATGTGTTAATGGTGGTGACTGTGCCGAATACTTTCGATGATGTGGTGATGGTAATGACTGAACATGTGGTTAATGTAAATATAGTGATAAGATGAATAGTGACTTTCTGCTTCTCCCTTACATACTTGAGGTAATTGTGCAATGATATATATAAACTTTTGATAATTAATGAAGTGAATATATACTAGAAAACATACTAAACAAAACTAATTAAAACATAACTGGAATTATAAAGTGACACGAATTGCTGCTGAAGGAGTCCAATGAAATGAGATAAGAAATGAACTCGTGGATATATCTTTAGTTAAAAGAAGGCTTTGACACCTGCATTAAGCTTAGAAATGATCTCATATTCCCTAATTAATGGGTATCTGTTACCACCCTGTCCTTGGCCAGGGGGTGTCACTGTTCAGGGGCTAAAGCATATGTAACAAAATTGGGGGCCTGACCGGGATTCTGTCTCACTTGAGAATTAAGTGATTTAGTATTTGTAAAGGAGAAGCCAGATTTATTAAAATGACTTTTGATGTAAATGAGTTTGTTCAGTCACCATCAGTGGAAATACTGAATGAGTTGCGTAAATGTGATTTGTTAAAAGTCGCAGAATATTTCAAAATTAGCGTGAGAGTTGGTTTGAGAAAGAATGAAATCAGGAATGAAATAATCAAGTATATGGTTGAAAGAGATATGCTCGATATGTCTGCTTTAACTCATGTTGAGGATACAGGGAATGCGGCATGAACATGCACATATGATTAGACTGAAAGAACTTGAGCTTGAGAATGAATTTCGAATGAGAGAGTTAGAAATTCAGAGAGAACTTAAACTGAAAGAGCTGGAAATGAGGGGTTCGGTTTCAACTAGTGTTCCTTTCAATGTTGCAAATAACGTAAAACTCGTTCCGCCATTTCAAGAGAA